TATTCCTTCTCAGTGCTCTTCCATTCCTTCTAACAAGAAGGAAGTCTATCTGGTGCTACACTACCTTTAACATCTCTCTAGCATTTGGTAACTAACCTCCTTTTATAACAAAGACACATAGCAGTGCTTTGTTTTATTGGTAGTTTATTTCAATGGCTGCCATCTGTTTAAGACCTGGGATTCTCTAGTGATTAAAAAATAAAAGGTGTCCTTTTCAAATGTACTTACTTAGGTCAAAAAGAAGAGGGGAGGTTTATTATGAAGGTCAAGAACAGGCAAACTTAATCTATGATGCTAGGGTCAGAATAATGGCTACCTTTAGGATGTATTCACAAGGAGGCACAAGGGAGCCTCTAAGATGCTGGGAACACGAACATTCTATATCTTGATCTGGGCAATGGTTGCAAGGGTATAAAAATTCAGTCTTAAAATTAAGCTTAGGGGCGCCTGGGTGGCTCAGTGGGTTAAGCCGCTGCCTTCGGCTCAGGTCATGATCTCAGAGTCCTGGGATCGAGCCCCGCATCGGGCTCTCTGCTCGGCGGGGAGCCTGCTTCCTCCTCTCTCTCTGCCTGCCTCTCTGCCTGCTTGTGATCTCTCTCTGTCAAATAAATAAATAAAATCTTAAAAAAAAAAAAAATTAAGCTTAAAGCTATACATGTCTTAAAAAGAAAGAAATAGGAGTCAATTTGAAGATAAATATTAAATAATAATTCATGTGGTATATTAATATGGCAAAATGCATGCTAGAGGGGTGTGTGGGGTTGAAGTTTGAACAATGATGGACTGGGCGACCCAAGTTTCCTTCTGGTTCATACGTTCTGAGACTCTGAATGCTTTGGAGGTCTAAGTCTCAAGGTTGCCCAGTACACTGATGGCAGATCCTCTCAGAGCTCGGGGCACTTGCTGGGCAGTGGCACTTACGGTGGGGAAGCAGCAGGACTGTAGAGCCCATCTTCCCACAGAAGAGCCCTTCCATCCCACCCCAGCTTCTTCCTGCTGCTCCTGGTCCTGGGTGCAGCTCAATCCCAGCTTCCTTTTTCTCTGTGCATTGGCCCGAGCCTCAGCTGCATCCATCATCTGCTTCAAGCTCATTAAAATTATTTCTTTTTAGTTGCAAATGGGCTGTTTATGATGATCATTATTTGAATGGTCTGCGCTGGGCTCCGGGCTGTCTGTCTGCTGCTGATGGCAGGTTAATCAGATGAGTCTCCTCCCGGCCTGGGCCTGGTCCAAAGTCTGGGGCTGTGTTAATCATGGGTCCCCTAGGGCTGGGGGCTGAGGGCCAGGGTGGGAGAGGAATGGAGTTCTGCTTGATCATCAAAGGAGGGCCTTGCTAGTCATGTATGTGTGTAGTGGCTCAGACATTCATTTCTAAAACTCTGCTTCTAAAACTCAGCTTCAAACCGGTACTGGCTTATGTTTATGAGAGTTTTTTCCATTCCTTCAAAATAAACACAGTGCTGGGAGCTTTTTCATTTTAAGTGTTTTTATTTATTTTTTTAAGATTGTATTTATTAATTTGACAGAGAGACAGTGAGAAAGGGAACACAAGCAGGGGGAGTGGGAGAGGGAGAAGCAGGCCTCCCAGTGAGCAGGGAGCCCGATACGGGGCTCGATCCCAGGACCCTGGGGAAATGACCTGAGCCAAAGGCAAATGCTTAAAAATTAAGCCACCCAGGCACCCTATATTTTATTTTCTTAAGTAGGCTCCTCACCCAGCGTTCAGTTCCACAACCCTGAGATCAAGACCTGAGCTGAGATCAAGTCAGACACCCAACTGACTGAGCCACCCAGGCACCCCAGGCATATTTATTTTAAAAGACTCTCATTGATTCTGTTGTTGGCCCTTTGCTTTGTTAGTGTTCAAATGCCCTATCTTTTAGGATGAGTGGGAGTGGTTTTTAATGTTTTTCTTTGATGCAGTAAAACTTGGCTATACTCTGTTGATCTTCCTTTTTCTTTCTTTGGTGATATTTTTATGGACCTGTGAAACCCAGAACTCTTAGAATCACTGATCTAGTGATGAGACCTGAGATGTTTTCTGAACTCTCAGTTTATCCAAATAACAGAATAATATCAGCCAACATTTATTGAACACTTGGTCCTGTGCTTGATGGTTTATACAATTATAGCATTTAAAACAAGCTCCCTGAGTATCCCCCGACTAGTGGAAAAGTGGAACAGAAGTCCTACTAAGAGCCAGGCATTATAATTTTGCCTTTATTATCCACCAACGGGATAATCCACACCAGTATTATTAGAATTGACTGTAACTTATTTCTTAGTTGCTTCGTGAATCCCAAACAGACATGTTGCTGTGCTTATTACATGAGGTGAGGTATGTAAGGAGCTTAGCATGGTACCCGATACATATAAGCACCCAATGAATGATAATTATGATTATTATTTACTATTACTGTTATTGATGATATTGTCTTTAGTGAGCTGACCATAGAAATGTGACAAGAATTTAGTGTTGAAGGATGAGCATTAGAAGTAGGCAAAGTTGAGAAGAACACAGACATTGTTTGCTCTTCTCTGGCTCAACAGGAAAGACACCATGAGCTGGGCTTAAGTAGGCTTGGGGCTGGGGGTCTGCCAACATTCCCCAGCCTGGTGTTGCCTCTGCTGTGGCTTCAGCGTGGATGCAGCAGACAGATTTATACCCACCAGCACCCTGGGAGGTTCTGGTGAAGGGATTCAGTCACACAGCATAATTGTCTGGTACAACACTTCAAGTCATTGGACTTATCCTGCTGTGAAATTTCCTCTCAGGGACTGGGTTTGCTGTTTTAACTGAGGAGTCCAAGTCCAACACCAACCAGATATATCGTTGGCTGTGGTGTGGGGAAGGACAGTGTCCGAGAGATTAGAACATAGTGTCATAAACTTGATAATCCAAAACCACATCATGTCCACCCAAGTCCCAGTTCTGCTTGTTCTGCAGCAACGTAAAAATCACATCTTTGTCTCCAAGACAGATGAGAAAAACTAAGGGAACCTGTGAGCATTTTATCACAACTCACATTGATCATGACACTCCAGTTCCTTCTCTCCTGCCAAGTGAGGTTCTGTCCACCTGGCTGCACCACCTGGTTGAATTTTATCTACCTTTGATCAGTCCTTTTGCTGCAGACTTCTTCCTAGTCACTCAAGATTTTGGTTGTGGTCAATTGTAGTATCTTTATTGGAAACTATGATTATTTTTGAATGATAAATCTAAAGTGGCCTTTTTTCTTCTGTCACTCTGGTGGACTGTCAGAAACTGTTTCTGTCTCTCCTCTCTAATGATACCTTCTTCTTTACCCGGCTTAAAATTCCATGGAGCATCTGTACGGGCAGCTCCTGCACCTTCAAGTCAGTGTGTCTAGTGCTGTGGCATAGAATTGACTTCAGCACCTTGGAGAGCACCACACCACGGAAGCCCCATTCTATTTCACTACTTTCATGACTTGGCCTTCTCTCTTCTAGTCCCGTGCTTCTCCAAGAGGTTAGACATTTCTCCAGAAATAGAAGTTCCCTTGCCAGTTTCTCTCTAAGGCACCCTAGGCAGAGACACTTCTACTGGGCTTAGGATAGGCTCTCCTGCCTCTGATGGGTATGAGGTTTATGGTGCTACGGTGAACTGCTATAGAGCAGATTTACCGACTCAGACATGATATAAGACAATTACCATGCATTTCGTCTCTTACAGGGAAAAGGATTTGCAGCGGGTTAATAGTACTTTTATTTCATTACCTAATGGTAAAAGTGTTTCATTGTGTGTGCAAGACGAATGCGTATTAGCGATGACAAATGGGGTCTTTCAACACGGTGCCGGGCCTCATCATACATATGTTAGATTAAAGAGTTCACCCTAGAAATACACTCTTGCATCTGCGTGTGTGTTTTTAATAAATCTGATTGCAGAAATTTATTGCATCACCGGATTTAGGAAATTATGGGGCTTGATTGCTGCAAATATAATCGGGTGATATATACAGAAATGCTCCTCGAGTTATGGTCCAGAAAAAAAGCCCATCTCGGGATGGTGCAAGAAAGCAGCAGACCACATAAACAGAGCATTTCTTGAATTATGCAAATGAAACCCATGACAACTCATGGTGAATTGTACTCCCCTTGTGAGACTGCCACCATTAAAGCGAAGAAAGCCAAGAGAGGGGTGATCAAATATACATGTACAACCAGCAGACGCTGTCTGTGATGTGTGTGAGCTGGAGCAGCCCCCCCTTCCATCCCTCACTCTTTTTTTTTCCCCTCGATGGTACGTCCTGTAAAAACCTGGTCTGGTGCCTTCATTGCACATAAGCAGGCAAGGCACCTTCCAATCCATTTCTTCTGAATCCAGAGTCTTCAGTGAAATATTTCTTATACTTGAAGTGAACCTTAAATGATTTACTGCAGGATACACAAAAGGTCAGCTTGCTTCTTATTGGCACCTTCATTTTTCCAAAATCTACTGAAATTAAAAAGCCATCTATATCTTAAAAGGCGTATTTATGAACCCTTAAGTGTAAGTAAGTCATAGTTGGAACAGTTCCCACCTCTGATATATGAAAGCTGTCGACAGCACTTTCTTACACTATAATATGCCCATACAATATGCCGCACTTTACTATTTTGACACGGTTTGGAGATGTTTTCTACAGTTACTGACAAGCTTATGCCATCACTCCTTTGGAAATTTAAGAGGTGGGGCAGAGGGGTGGGGGAGAGAGTAAAAAAAAAAAAAAAACCTCCACCCAACTTTATGGGAGATTATTGATCTTCCGATGAGCAAAAAAAGCTGTCCTGGATTTTTTTCAGTTGCATCCCATTTTGTAAATTATTCATTTGTGCCAGGAGTCAATATCCTATCTTTTCTCAGCTTTGTAAGTTAAGAAAACTTGTTCAGAATGCTGTTTTGTACGATGATGAAAAAGGAAAAGGAGGGGAAAAAATCTTTCTCTTCTCTCTCTCTCTCTCTCTCTCCCCCCTTTTTTTTTTTTATATTGTTTCAGAAGGAGCTTAATTCCGTCGCTTCCGAGCTGTCTGCACGGCAGGAGGAGAGTGAACATTCTCATAAACATTTAATTGAACTCCGCCGGGAATTTAAGAAAAATGTACCTGAGGTACAGTATATTTGCTGTTATAGAATTAACTCAGTAGGAATGCAGATTTTCCTCTGTTCAAACTGTATTTTGGAAACTGTAGACATAAGTGACTAACAAGAAAAGAAGCTAATTAGCCACAAAGAGACATTACAGCCCCCAACCTTTGGGTGTTTCTTGGTATAGTGGTGCTCAGTGGTGCTATCTAAAGTGAGGGCAGGACGCTTCTCCTTTGAAGTTATTGTTTCTGCCGGCTCCCTAAAACATCCACTGCCCCCCGATATTCATCTCTAGTCAAATGCTTGGCCTTGACAGCAAGGACAGTTTGTCTAGGGTTTGTGATCTTATTTTCCTTTTCCATTGGTGTCGGGGAAGGACAGCTCTAGGCTCCTCCACCCTCTCTGGGCCTTCCCTCAGTCTCCTCTAAAACACCTCCCGCTGCCATAAAGAGGCCTCCTTCTTCCCCTTCACTTCTTGCTTTGCAGCTCCAGCCACCAGCTCTGACTTTCCCAGCTGCCATGAGGGTGGTCCAGACAGATCAGTCCTGTCCCCTTACCCCCATAACATAAGGGCCTCCCAACGGAAGAGACTAGAATGGGCATGATTTTGTTCTTTACAGGAGCGAATGTGTTAATTTCTTTACTTTCTCTATCAGGCCCCCTATTGCTACTCAGATCTTAAAAAAAAAAAAAAAAGGATGAAATAAACACAAAGAGGAATAATAAAGCCTTCTGATTCCATGTAATGTTATCAAGGATGTGACACATCAGAGCCACTGGGTAACAGAGACCCTGGCTGTCCCCAAAACCAACTTTGCTTCTCTGTGGTCAGCAGAGGTTAATAGTCGACCTCTCTGCCCTAACCTACTCGGGAGGCCCTGATCTTGGAGGAGGGTGGGGCAGCATCTGGCATTCTGAAAGTATCAGATGTTGATTCCACTCTGCCTATTAGAATCACCCAGGGGTCCTGCTGCCCTCTTCCTGATAGAGGAGGAGGCCATGGAAAGATGGAGAAGAGGCAGGCCAACCCAGGTATTGGGCTACATGAGCACAGAGGGGTCAAGTCTTCTAGCTGTGAAATTCTCCTCACAAGTCACGAGTATCTTCGGTTCTTCAAGGCAAGAGAGGGAAGCGGACTATAGCCAAAACTTACCCATGGAGCAAGTATGGAAGGAATCTTAGGTTTGCGAGGTGAGGGAGGGTACACCTGGAGAAGGAGCAAGAGTCTCAGGTCAAAGTGTCTCCCATGTCACACCTTCAAAAAGGCCAGTTCAAGTCCTGGGCTTGACTCCCCGAGCTAAGAAGGCATAGGTGATGGTGAGCACCCTTTGCTTCCTTCTTGGAACAGAGAACAATTTGGTATTTAAGCTGATTTTCTGCCCAGAAAGAGGGTGACCGAAGCTTGGCCTCTGACTCTCCATTCTGTGGGAAACGCAGATGAAGCAGCCCTAGATCTTCCCAGACCTACTTGCCCTCGCTCTGGTCAGCACAGATTCTCCATCTCATCCTCCTCCCCCAGACCACATGGGAGCCCCCAGGTGATGAGGGAAATCCAGGCCAGGTTTTAAGCCTCTGAGTTCAGCTTACATAATTTTAATACTGCATAATTATGCAATTATGTAATTAGGAGGAATAAGTTTCCATTCCTATTATAGTCGCGCCTCTGAAAATTCTCTTTTTTGGAACTAGTCTCTCCTGATTGGGAGAGTCATGCCAAGGCTTTATTTAAGAACATCATCTGGCTGGTGCCCAACTCACCTCCTGCTGGCGCCTATGCTCAGCTTCCCTCCCAGGGGTGAAGCATACAGGACAGGGGGCTTCTAGAAATGGTCAGCATTGGCCCGAAGTCCTGCCAACCCACCCCCCACCCCCACCCCAGGCCCTCAGATTTGGATTCCCTTGAGTGTGGCGTTAT